CACATGGCCTAGCTTGAGTCTGACTGCCATCCCATGTGATCTTTACATCTTCATGAGGAGTACGAGATAGAATCTATCCAGTGACCTTGGCCTTTTAGTTAGTACCTGCTGGTAATCAATCCATCCCCAAACTTAGTGGCTTAGAACAAGAATCATTTATTATTTTTTGATGAGTCTATAGTTCAATCTGATTGCTCTGCTCTGTCCTCACTTGTGTCTGGATTCTGCTGGCATGTGACTGTAGTGGTTGCTTGGGGACCATCCTAATTCTTCTCTGTGTGCCACAGCATCTTGTCAGCAGGCCACCCTGAGGGCATTTATATAGAAGTAGCCAAGCCCAAGGGCAGAAATTGAAACATACAACCGCTCATAACACTGTTTATGTTAAGTTTACTTCTGTCCTATAGGTCAAAACTGTCTGTGTGGCCAAAGCCAGAAACAAAGACAGAGGGATGATTTTCAAAGTGATGAGGAAATGATGCGGGATTAGAAAGATCATTCCCAGGGGCCCAAAGGCAGTCATTTGCTCCACTTGGGGACACTGTGTATACTACATTGGCTGCTGGGTGTTGAGACATTCTCTGAATTATGATGGGCAGTGCTGTATTCAGGAGAGGGTTGACACCTATACTGTTTTTTAGTAGTTGATCATCTCTCCAGACTCCTGTATTTCTGCAAACTGCCCACTACTCTCTCCATTAGGGATAAGAAGTGGAAGTGTACTTCCTGTTCTTGTCTTCTTTCTTTCTTTCTTTCTTTCTTTCTTTCTTTCTTTCTTTCTTTCTTCCTTCCTTTCCCTCTGTCCCCCTCTCTCTCCCTCTCTCTTTCTTTCTCTCTCTCTCCCACTGCCTTTGTATTTTTATTCTTCTCTCATACATTGCATCCCAACCACAAGCCTCCTCTCCTTCCACTCCTCTCTGTCCACCTCTACCTCCCCTTTCCTGAAGTTCAATGCCTCCTCTGTTTCCCTTCAAAAAATCAAACAACAACAACAACAACAACAACAACAACAACAACAACAACAACAACAACAAACAGGCCTCTCAGTGATATCAGTCAAATGTGGCACAACAAATTACAGCAAGACTAGGCACAGACTGTCATATCAAGGCTGGACAAGGCAACCCAGTAGGAGGAAAGAGTCCCAAGTGCATGCAAAGAGTCACAGACAGTCCCACTCCCACTGTTAGGAGTCCCACAAGAACACCAAGCTATATAACAATAATGCATATGCAGAGGACCTAGCTCAGACTCATACAGGGTCCATGATTGTCACTTCAGTCTCTATGAACCCCTATGAGCCCTGCTTAGTTGATTGTGTGGGTCATCTTCTTGTGGTGTCCTTGATCTCTCTAGATCTTGCAATCCTTCCACCCCATCTTCTGCAGGGTTCCCCTGGCTCTACCTAGTGTTTGGCCATGGGTCTCTGCATCTGTTCCCATTAGTTGCTAGATGATGCCTCTCTGATGATAATTGGGCTAGGCACTGATCTATGAGTATAGCAGAATATCATTAGGATTTTACTTGACACAAATTCATCTAGGATTATCCACACTTCCACAACTGACAGGATTGCCTTACCTTTTATGGCTGAATAGTATTCCACTATATTTATACCTTGCATTTTTTCCATCCAACCATCCATCCATCCATCCATCCATCCATCCATCTGCCCAACCATCCATCAATTGATGGATACTTAGGTTGATTTCACATCTTGGGTATTGTGAATAGTGCTGCAAAACCAAATGCTTAAACAGGCCATTGTCAAGGCCACTGGTTGATCTCCACAATTTGATGGTAAGCCCTATTGCTGAAGATAACACCTATACAATTCATTGAACATGGAAAAGTTGAGATGGTGTCTATGTAGAGCCTTCACTACTATTGACTAGTGTTCATGGTACTGGTGCTTTACATGCTACCAAAGGAGAAACATAGACACAAACCCAGATACTGACCCTTCGGTTTATAATGGCGACCTTCTTGCAAGATGTGATAGTAAAATAATGGCACAAAGCTTTCGGGACTAACCAGCCAATATTTAATTGTATTTAAGGCTCAATTTATAAGATGGAACCCACCCTCAACACTGCTTGGGTGGCCAAGAACCTGAGACTAGATAGGCCAAGGACCTAGAAAAAACCTAAGTAGTACTGCTCAGTGAAAGGACCATAGGTAGCAACAAAATTACTCCTCATGACATTCTGCTACACTCATAGATCAGTGTCCTGTTCAGCTATCATCAGAGATGCTTTCTCTTGCAGTAGATGGGAATAAATATAGAGACCCATAACTGGACAAGGTACCAGATAGGGTCCCAGCACTGAGAGGAGAAGCTGACACAAGTTCTCATCCTTAACTCAGAAGCTTTCTCCAACTGATGCCCACTTGTAAGTGAAAAATTAGTTTTTTTTTTTTAATGGAATCTCATTGGTTATACAAACCCACTCCTGAGGCTAGGCCTCATTCCCAGCAGTAGTTGGCCAACACAGAATGAATTCAGTGGTAGTTTTGGAGGGTTTTTTTTGGTCACATAATACTTCTTTTGGGCATTTTGTATTTTTTTTTTACTTTTTATTTTCATTTATTTTACCTTTTGTTTATATATCATGATTTCCAATTTTGTGTTTTCATGGTATTCCTGTGTGTTCCAATGTGAATATCCCTGCATCTATATGTGTTTCTTGTACTTTTTTTCTTTGGTTCTTTGTTTTTCTGCTTGTTTGTTTGTATTGTTCTATACATGTATGTTTGGTTTTGTCTTATCTTATTTATTATTATTATTATTATTATTATTATTATTATTATTGATGCCTGTTTTCTGTTAAGAGAAAGCAAGGAAGTATTTGGATTTGGGTGGGTAGAGAGGTGGGGAGGACCTGGGAAGAGCTGAGGGAGGGGTGGCCACAATCAGGATATATTATGTGAAAAATAAAACTATTTTCAGTAAAAAAATAAAATTAAATGAAATAAAAAGGCTGATCTCGTAGAAGCTGAGAGGAATGGTAACTACATGCCGGGAAGGTGATGGAAAAGGAGAAGACTCTGGTTATCAGGACAAGAGTGCTCTTGGGAGGATTAAGTTGTGTTGCCACAGTGGAGTGACTGTGGTTAAAAGCTCTGTGTTAAATGCTGCCCAAAAGTTGGATGAGACCTTTTTGAATGCCCTGATCTTAGAGAAATATGTATGAAGTGATAGATATACTAATTTAGCTGACTTGTTTATTGTAGAATGTATACATGTATTAAAACATCTCACTGTATTTTGTATATGTCCAATTTTTGTGTTAATTAAAACAGAATAAAAATAATAAAACAGAATAACAGTAATTCTTGTTTTAGTTTGCTTTCTATTGCTGTGATAAAACCTTCTGATCAAAAGCCCCTTGGGGGCCTGGTGTTGGTGGTGCACGCCTTTAATCCCAGCACTTGGGAGGCAGAGGCAGGTGGATCTCTGTGAGTTCGAGACCAGTCTGGTCTACAAGAGATAGTTCCAGGACAGCCTCCAAAGCCACAGAGAAACCCTGTCTCGAAAAACCAAAAGCCCCTTGGGAAGGAAAGGGTTTATTTGCCTTATTCTTCCATGTCATGATCTATTGTTGAAGGAAGTCAGGGTGGGGATTCAAAGGAACCTGGAGGGCAGGAATTGAAGCAGAGAGAGACCACAGAGGAACACTGCTTACTGGCGTGTTCCTCGTGATTTGCTTGCCTTCTTCCTTATACCACCCAGAACCACTGACCCAGGGATGGTACCACCCACAGTGGACTAATTGAGAAAATGCCTATAGCCGGGAGGCATTTCCTCAACTGAGGCTCCTTCCTCTCTGATGACTCTAGCTTGTGTCAAGTTGACACACAAAGCCAGTCAGCACAGGTAGATAATGAAAACATTCTAGGGTGGGCACATATGACTTTCCTATGTGGGCAATTTAGGCTACAGGCGACAGAAATGAAACATGAAGTGTCTTGGCAGCAAAGGGAACTCTTGGGAAGTCCAAGGGACAGTGTCAGATACAGATGGACCTCAAGGCTTGAATGGGATCAAATAGCTGTGTCACCACTGACTTATACCTACTTGCTTCTGTATTGGTTCCATTCTGTATAGGTGTCCCTTTGGGGAAGTTAAATGGCTTGGGCAGAGCTGTTGCTGCGGGTTCATTAGAGTGGTACTTAAGAAACAAAACAGCACCTGGCCCCTCTCATGGATAGGTCATGGAGAGTGTGCCATCTTTCTGGGTTCCAGGATCCACTCTGGGCTCCTACCCTCAGGGAGTTGGTTCAGTTGGCTTATCTTGTAGTTGTTCCTTCCTAGTGCCGGGGGAATTCTCAGTGAAGGACTTTAGCTTCATCTCCAAATCAGTTGGAACATGAGCTTCTGATTGGATTTGGGATGAGTCACCCCTTAGTATAAAACAGGAGGAAGGAAGTTCTAGGAAGAAAAATCAGACCCTTAATGGAGACATGGCCTCTTACATGGCTAGAGGTCATCACATGAGATGTTGACATCCAGAAGATTAGAGCATGATACAGAGTTAGAATGGCCTATTCCAAGGCTGGTCAGCTCTCTCCAGGGTAGTCAATAGTCTTATCTGTCTCTAGAGGGTCAAGAAGTCTCAGATGGAGGTACAGAGGGAGTTGGGGAAACCTGGGGCAGGGTCCTCAGCCCATTTAACCTGGAGGACAGAACTGCCAGAACTGAGACCCCACAGGAGAGGATAAAAGGATTAGAAAGGGTGGGTTTTTTCATAGTAACTTTTGGATGGCAGAAAGGATTCTCAATGCTAGAAGATAACTGCCCTATATCCTGGGGCTGGATGCTGCTGAAGGATGTTGGGTCTAAGTTGCTGCCTTGCAGTCTTCTCTGAATGAGTGAAATAGACCTGTACTGTATTTCTGTTGGTGGCTGTCTGGGTTGGGAGTGTTGGGGTTGGTTGCCCTCCCAGATAGATCCCTTCCCACTTAAAGATGATTCTTCCTTTCTCTTCTCCCATGCTCAGATATTCGTGGGCTCCAAAGCTTTCTGGACCAGGCCTCAAGGCTGGGCCTCGACGTCTCTTTACAAAAGGTGGACAAGAATATCAGTCACGTGTTCACCAGTCTCTTCACCACCATGAAGACAGAGGAGCTGAACCGCTACCGGGATACACTGCGCCGTGCCATCCTACTGCTTAGCCCACAAGGGGCCCACTCCTTCATCAATGAGGTAGGTCATGGGAGCTGAGGCCACTTATGCCTGATGTCCAGGGGCCACTGAATAGCTTAGGTATATAACAGAAACAGAAAGAGGGAACATATGCACGCTCACTTCACAGTATCTGACCCTACAGGGAGAGGCCTCAGCATGTCTTGGCTCCTGATTGGTCTCCAACAGGTGACCCCTGTCCTCTGGCTCTGAAGAGGCTATGGGGCTGGTGGGAAGCCTGCTTATAATTTACTGCCTGAATTTTCCGAGTTGAAACCCAGATGTTTTTCCTTTTAATTTTCTTTTCTTTGTTAGCAGGAATGTACCTAAAGGGATAAAGCAAATTTCTAGCTCTCTAGAGTAGTGGGAAGGTTTGCTGTGGGATTTGTTGACATTTGGTGGAAGTGTCTGTTGCCTATCAAGTGATCCCTGGAGTGAGCAAAGTGTCTTTCTTTGGTACTTGTCCTGATCAGTGTGTGCTCCTTTTAAAAACACCTCTATTAGGGATCATCAGGACTTCTGGAGGAAGACAAGGGAGGGCCACCAGTTTTGCAAAGAATCCATTGATTTGTGATAAGACTAAGAAACTGAACTAGATCTGACTGGGGCTGGCTCCAGTGGTTTCATGGCACAGAAGCGATAAATGGGTAGTTGCCGGTCACTCCCTGGGACCGAGATGGTTTGGGGAGAAGAGGTGGAATTGGGTGTGGTGTGGCTGGGAACACGTGAGGACCCAATGCATCATAGGAGCAGGGAGCAATGGATGCTCCCTGGGGTTTTCCTCATAACCCAAGCCACCTTAGTGGCCTACTCAGAAGGTAAAATGAAAGAGAAAGGCAGAATTATACTAATTTCATCTGATGTACTGTGCTTGCTTATTCTGCTTTCCCCTCTAATTAATTATCATTCAAAATGCTACCTCATGCATCAAGAACCAGCACGAAGCCCACTGCTGGAGAGTGTAACATTGGGAGCGCTTCATTTGGTGTAGTTGGCCAGCAGCCCTGATGCTCTCAGCTAATCAGGCCCGGTCTGTGCTGGTGGTCGGCCCGTCTGTGCCATCCTGTGGGTTCTCAGCATCTTCACCAGAACACTTTTCCCTGTGTGCAGTGATTCAGCCTCGGGTGAGCAGTGCTGACATGTCCAGCCTTTCTCAGAACGTTCCCAGTGGTGTATTTGCAGAAGGCTGCTCAAGGGGCGACTTTTCCCTCTGTTTACTGCCAGACTCGGACTCGTGTACCTGGGGAGAGTGCCCACTGAAGATTCTGTCACCAGCCTCACAGCTTCTCACTTTGTGTTAATTCCTTGGCCTTCCTGTTTGTTTCCTTCCCTCTCTGCCATTGGCTTGCTGGGAAGCTTGAGAGAGGAAAGAAAATGGGCCTTACAGTTAACAGATTCCACTCCAGTCTCTGCTCCAATTCCTGTGTGTGGGATGCTGATCAATGTGCTTGATCTTTGTAGACTCACTTTCTGTATCTGCTAAGATAGTGGTGGAGGCGGAGGCAGTGATGATAAACATTTGACACCAAGCTTCTTAGCACCTGCTCCCTTTAGCTGTGTACACATGTATTTTCCATCTACACGAATCTAGGCCTTTCTTGTTTCTAGGCCCCTGAAGGATTTACACACAACCACGACTGGCCTAAATATGTTATTTCCAAGTGATTAATTATGCAAACTCCTGTGGTGCAGGGTGCACTTTGCTTGGCTTTAGCTGGTTGCCTTTTCTAATCCTTAGACTGTGTTCACAAAATCTTTGTGTCTCTGAGTGTTTGGGGGGTGTGGATACAACTGGAATGGCTACTTCCTTTTCCAAGCAACTCTGACTGAGTGGTGGCAAGAGACTGAGTGTGAGGACAATCTCTGAATTTTTATTAGAGGACATACCACCTCTGCCTTTTCTTTCAGCTCCTATAAAGTCCCAGTCTCTGGTTCCCTGCCATGCCACCAGAAATAGAGGAAGCCATCCTTTCCTGGGCATGGCTCTTTGTGTTCATTTCCTCATCAGCATATGTTGTGGTTGTGATTTTAATGGATGTTAAGTGATGTGTATAAAGTCATTGTTACTAAGAAACAGAATGGAATTCCTGTGTAGCTTTGGCCTGTTCCAGAACCCTCTCCTCCATGGTTGGTGACTTCAGAGGACACAATATGCTATACTTTCTGTCATGGCCCATGTGGCTGCGCCAGGAAGATATGCTTCTGGATTGTTCTCAGGCCTTACTTTAAGAGTCTTAGTGTGTCTATGAGGCACAGATGGGAACAGGGTCTGGGGGCTGGAGATCACTTCTGTTCAGCTGTCTAGTCCTGCAAGTCCCCTAAAAGATGGGGAACTCTATCCTGCACAGTGGTCTTGTCATTGCCTGGGAACATTGCTTGGGCTCCTTAGGCAGACTGGTCCAGTTTTCTCTTTGTTAGGACAGGATGGATGCTTCTCACAAGGGTCACTCCCTTTCTGAATTTTATGTCATTCTAAACAATGTATAGAGAAGTGAGTGGCCTCTTAGCCCTCCACCATAGTGATAGGCTACTACTGTGTTGACTGCAAGGGCATAGAGGAGTTGTGTAGCCTGTGTAGACTGTGTGGCCTTCCCACCTGCCGATGTCTCATTTCTCCCTTCCAGAAAGCATGGCTAAATGGAAGTGGGTGAAGAAAGTCAGCTCTGCTGGAGACTTCCATTTCCCTAAGTGTGAACCTGCTGGTGTGCTGTTAGTGACAAGCCTTGCCCACTGTGTCCTGCTAGGCTGTCAGTGAACCATGTCGGAAGCTGCTTCTCTAAGTAGTAAACCTAGTAAAGCAGTTCACTGCCATCAGCCCTTGGCCTTGGGGTTACATGGTACCACTGGATTATCTATGATTCTGCTTCAAGAGGGGCAGTGTTGCCTGGGGCTACCAGACTTCCAAACTCTGGTCTTGGTGATTTGTGATGGGGTGGGTTGTAGGAGACTGAGGTCTTGGTGCCTGCCCTGGTCCCTGTGGGCTCATGGACCCACTGCTGTCCACAACTCAGTCTTGATTCTACATTCTCTCCATGACGTTAACACAGTGTCTTTAAAAGGGTGTGAGGGGGCTAGGTTTATGGCTAAGTGCAGAACAGTTGGGTAGCATAGGCAAAGATCTGGGTTCCACCTAACACCACAATAAAACATAAACAACAACAAAGGTGGTGAAAAGCACCCATGGAGCAGCTTAGCTTGTAGGAGAGTCATCGCCCCTCCCCCATCCTGCTGCTGCCTGGAGCAGCTGAGCTTGGAGGGATAGCATCATGGTATTCTGGTCCCAGGCCTGTGATCACCATACAGATGCCCTTGTGGCTTGCTGAACAATTTCTTCCTCCAACAAGACATGCTGTGCTCTGCTCTTGCCCTTGGAGGGAGGAGGGAGGGTGACTTCTTCCAGTCACCTTACCCTGGGAAGCAGGTTGGGCTCACTATCTTTCCAGTTGAGCTTTGACATTGGCAGGTGATTAGCTTTATTGGGCTGTGAGTTTGTCTTGATGTTATCTTCACTCAAACTTGTCAGCTGGCTCACCAGATGGGTAGGTGGGTGTGGGCCTTTCTACCTTATTCCAGAGCCTCGAGAACTCAAGTAATGAAGTCAGACGCTGATGAGAGGGACCAAGATTGGGGCCTTGCTCTGGGGATTTAATCCTGCTCACCAAGAGCTTCTGGAGTTGTTTTCTCACACAGTTCCAACTGCCATGTTCCCAGACTTAATGAGCCACAGCACCATGACGTGGTTCCTGCTTCCATGGGGCTTCCAGCTTGGTCAGGGAAGATGGAGGTATGAACAGATCCTGTTATCTATAGTGGTAGAAGGATGGAGTGGTAACTTATGACCAGGGAGACATCTAGTCATAGTGTCCAGGAGGCTTCCTGGACTCAGGAATAACAAGGCTAGGTCTAGAGGTATGATCTGGTATTAACTGAATGGATACAGAGGGGCAGGTGGGGAATATCTTAGCAGTTGTGATGTGTGGGACCAGAAATGGCTGAAACTGAGGCTAAGCTGGTGACAGAAGGGACTCCTGGGTCAGACCAGGGGATCTGGGCTTTAGGCAGGATTATTTGGGGGGTCACTTTCAGGTCTTTTGAGGCTAAAGGTCCACAATTTGTGTCTTCCTGTTCTCATCCCTCTCCAGGTCATGTTTGATTGTGTGTGTGTGTGTGTGTGTGTGTGTGTGTGTGTGTGTGTAGGGAGACCAGCTATCAACTGTTAGTTTGCCTATCACTGGATGCGTGTGTCCCATTTGTCACCTTGTCTATCTGTCATCTATCCAATCACCCACGCTCCCAACAAGTACTGTCTGGTGTCTCCTATGGATCAAGAACTGTATCAAGTACCAGGATAAAGGAACCAGCCTTCTCTTCGAGTCCAACTGGGCCACATGCTACAGGACATCCTCAGAAGCTAGCAGAGGGAGTGTGACCCAGGCTCTCTCCCACTGAAGCTCTAGCTGGCTGTGTGTCAGCTCTCAGATTTGTCCTTTCACCTTGTCATTGTTTGTGAGCCTCTGTTTCTAGCTTTTCATAGTCCCCCGCTCTTTTGCTTATTCTGGATTCCCTTCTCTTTTTCCACATCTTCTTTGTCTCATTAAAAATGAAAGACTAGCAAAATACTCTTGTGTAAAAGGCAGCTGATTCTTGCCCCTTGTTAATGATGATGGGTACAGCTTTGCCTTCCCCAGTGTCCCATAAAAGTTGGACACTCTTTCTCTTGTACTGGAATGGAAAACTGAGGGGTTGGGGCCGGGTAACAGTTGCTCTGTTATCTTTTGAGAGCCCCCCAAACCTGGAGGGGATACGTGGGATGGGTTTTTCTTACAGTTCTTGTTTCCTGCAAAAAGGCTTATAGTTGAGGTTTTCTTATGTGTGTTTTGGTTGCTGCTTTGACTGCTCAGCAAGTCTGAAGTGGTTTATTAATCCAGGACTGTGGTCTTAAAACTTCTGCTGTTGGGAAGACTTACAATTGCCTTATAATCCTACGCTAGGTCAGGAGAGGTCAGCAAAAAGTCCGGGCT